TTCATTGGCAGGACTTCCCATCCCATTTAGCATGGGGACCAGGCCCACCTCCCCTCTGGCCTCATTATCTGGTTTTGTCCCAAGCTCTCCTTCTGCTCCCACTACACCATCTCCTTCTGGTCCTTGAACTTGTAGAACACCCTGATGGAACACTTGTCCCTGACTCTACCTGGAGTGCTCCCTCTGCGGATTCAGGGTAGACCACGCCCACACAGCTTCAGGCGTCAGCTCCAAGCCCATCTGACTGTGTTACCTGACGTGCTGTGTGTTTGTTTGTTTGTTTTCCTATCTCTTCCCGCTAGGATCTAACCCGCATGAAAACAGGGACTAGCCTCTGCTTCTTTCATTGCTGTATTTTCTGAATCTGCAAAGGCACATGACAATTATCAATGCTCAATAAATACCTTTCAAAGACACATGGCTGAATGCTGCTACACTTTATGACTGTTGTTAGCAAATAAGTTTGAACATTTCCCAGTTTTCTCTTGTATGAGTGACCTGCTCATGCTTGCGTCCTTCTTGGCATCTTCATATATTTTTTTCCTTTCTGTTTCTGTGAACATCTCACACAATCTGGAGCACCACCCAAGCAATAATCTCAGACTGTCATTGTGAGCACGTTGGCTTCGTTCCAATCCGTAAGAGTTAGGATCTCTCCAGTGGCGATTTCTGCTTCTGTTCAGGTTGCCCCACAGTAAAGCCAGGTCTTACCTGGAGTTTTATCACAGGAAAAGATTTATCCAGGCACCAAAAGTGAATGATGTCACTGGATTCTTATTTCTTCAGCACAGAAGAACTGGGGTTAACATTCAGCCTGTGAAGGCTGCTGAACGTAACTCCTGCAGGGGTGAGATCGCGGCGAAGTCACAGTGGCTGGGTGCTGGGGACCGCAGCCATGAATTCACTGCCTACGTACCAAGAGCAGATTATAATAAAGCACCTATTAGCGGAGAGCCTTGCATCCCAGGCACCCTGGTGAGGTGTTTATGATTTGTTCAGAGGCATTAGCGAATTTTGCTCAAGTGTGCATTGGACCATGTTCTGCACATTTCATGAATAATTAAAAATGGAAGTCTAAACATTTCACGTGCAGGGATTTGTGTATAATTCTTATAATAAAGACAATGACCCAAAGTCTTAGAGCCGAATCAAGAACACAGAGAATTTCAACAGCTTATTCGTGGTCTTGGCTGTGCCTGGGAAATGTAATCCCCCCTTTTAAAAAAGGTGATATATGGGATGGATGTTCTTGAAGATGATAGATAAAGGTAAATTTTTTTAAAAAAGAAGAGAAAAGGAGGGCTTTAAAGTGATGCTTTTACATAGCCTATGCTGAATCCAGAGCATGGTCTAATAAACATTCTGGTATTTTACACACTGCCCTTTGTTTTCTGTTTTCATCTGTAATTCACTAATATGTTCTCTGTTATATGATAAATCCATTCTTAAAAAATGATGACTTTGACTTCTCTGCCAGGAAACAACTGGACATAGATAATACAGCATCATTGTGGGGTGTTGTTCCCCAAGATTCTGGCCCAGACTGTCAAAATGATGCCGCACAGCGTGGATCTACTCCAAGCCTCTGAGGGGGAACATCTGTCCAGAGCCTTGGGCCCTCCTGAGGGGGCCGCACACCCCTTCCTGAAACCTCCCTGCTCCTACCTGGGCCTATCCAGGGCCATCTCCTATAACTGTCATTGTCCCCTCCCAGCCAGGGTTTCCCATGTCTCTGTCTCCATGACCTGTTCTCAACCCAAGGTCCTCTGGAAACAGGACGCAGAGCTTGGTGCTCCTCCTGCGCCCTCCTTAGCCCCCGTTTCCCCAGGGAAGAAGGTCATGTGGCCCCCAGGCCCTGGCCTTTCCTCACCTATCCTCCCACACCTGCCCCTCCACTAGCTCCTGGCTTCTCCCAGATGCTCCAAACCCAAACTCAGGCTCCCATGCCTGCTCCTCCCTGCGTCCCGAAGGTCATTCCCTCAACACCCCCAGACTGTTTCTAGGTCACAGCCTTTGTGCAAAGTCGCCTTTGTCATGTGAGTGTCTCGCCACCCTAGTTAACGATGAGCACAACCATTATACACCCAGACCCGCTGTGCCTCCCCGCAGTGATCCTTCTCCAGTCCTGTGGCACAAAGGACCCCAGGGGAGTCAGCTCACTCCCTTACTGATGACCTGCACCCCCCACACACCGATGGCAGCTCCAGGCGGGCAGGATTGTTTGTTTTTACGTTGTGCGCTGTGTTCCAGGAGAACAGAGCCTTACCTGTGTGTGTTGGCTAACACATACACTAACAGGTATGTGTTGAATAAATCCTCCAGCCTTTTAGGGTCTGTGGGCACAGAAAAAGTGCTCCTCCTGCCCACATTGCCCCTTCCACCCCCACGCCATTCAGAAGCCTTGGGAGTTCGGGGGCATCCCCTCCACAGAGAAACAGCTGCCCTGGGACCCCCGTGCTGAGCACCCCCTGCCAAGCACACACGAGACAAGTGCAAAATTTCCCTTTGGGGAGGGCCCTCTCCCCGCTGGGGAACGCCCCCAGGGGTACCTCTCTAGGACAGGGGTTGGTTCATGGTAGACTCACAGCAAATATCTCAGACATCTGAGTAGAAACTGGAGACTGCTCACAAGGAAAAACCCTTTTCAAAAACAACAACAACAACAATAACAACAAAACGTACAGGCTACCACCTGGAGGAGAGAAACCCACCACAGCCCTGCTCGCCCCCTCTCTCTTCAGAGGGTTCCTAATAAAGGACTCTTGTGGGAGCTGCTTCCATCCCCACTTCAGGAGGGCTGCTCGTCCAGGGGAGCCCTGGCAAAGACACGCCTGTGGATGTGTCTAGAATGCATTGAAAATACTTTTCTGAAGAAGGCTTTCAGTTTTCTGAGAGTTAGAACACTAACTTTTTTGCAGCAGATGGCTTCATAATTGCTGCGCTGGTGAAAGGACGTGATACTGAAACACGCTTTGCGGGGCAGGGCTGGGAATCCTCTCATGGTGACAGAAAAGTTGTTTGTTGAGTGAGAAAATTATTTCCTATTTTTAGGGAATGTGAGAACCTTTGTATGAGAGATCAAGCCAAGGGGAGCTGAAATTCAGTGAATGCCAACTTTTGAAACCGTTGAAAACACTTGGCCCAGATGAGAAAACATACAGAAGATCTCCGACGCTTCCTCTGCATCAGGCTCTTCTCGGAGTTCAGGGAAATTCAGCAAGCAGCACTTGAACTAAAACAGAACTAAAATGTGTTCAGTGCTGTGCTCTGGTTCCCTGTCTTGGGTGCTGAGAAGCAGAGGACTGCTCGTGGCTGCACTGTCCGGAGGCCCCTCCAGAATCCCCGAGGTGGCCCATGCCCAGGCACCTCTGAGGGCACCACCCAGGGCGAGCTGGATGGTGGGAGCCTGCTGGACAGGTGGACCCTCCCCTGGGCTGAGGCTTCACATGGACTCCAGGCCTGGGTTCCCAGTGAGGAAAGTCAAGGCAAGGAAGCGCGCTGGGGCGCTCAGAGCCTGGTGCGAGGGCGCATCTACCCCGGCACCCTCGGCTGCTCACTTCAGCTCCTGGACAGCTGAGGCCTCCCCGTCTGTCTCCTAGAGCCTCCATGGGGCTGTCTGCTCCCGCCCTCCAGGCAGCCGTGTCACCTGGCTGCATTGACACCTGGCCAACTTGCCTATAGGAGGTGTGAGGGGAAGAGTAGCATTGCCCTCCTGGCCCCACCCAGTGATGACAAAGGCAGATGATGCTGCTGGCCACACTGCCCCGTCCCTATCACGGGGCAGCTCCAGTGCCTTCCACACTCAGCCACCACCTTGTGGGGCCATGCACAGTTTCACCAGTGAGGCCACCCCCTGCTTGTACCCACACCCCTCTTTCCACACTGCCATGGTTATCTACTTTCCAGATGGATTGAACTGTGTACCTCCCCACAAATTTTCTGTGCTTAAGTCCTAACCCCCAGCATCTCAGAACGTGCTCTTATTGGCATACAGAGTCTTGCAGATGTCAAGAGTTCAGACAAGGTCCTGTTAGAGCAGGATGGGCCCCTAAGCCAGTACGGCTGGGGCCCCGATAGAAAAGGAAAATTGGACACATCCATGCACATAAAGGGAGAGTGCCATGTGAAGGTGCCAAGCTTTGCTGCCATAAGCCAAGGAACCACCAGGAGCTGGAAAGGATGGGCACAGGTCCTCCCTAGTGCCCTCAGAGGGAGCCTGGCCTTGTGGCACCGGGATCTGGGGCTTCAGGCCTCCAGGCTGTGAAAATACATTTATGTGGTTGAATCCCCTCTGTTCCAGCAGCCCTAGCCAGCTAACACCCACCCCACTGGGGGAGCATGGGCTGGCCAGCCTCCCTACTCAGGTGTGCATTCCCATGCGGAGAGAGAAGCCCTGTGGCATGTGTTTGCTGACCCAGAGACTTTAGGCAGAATACAATATTTTAGAGCAAAGGCAATTCCATCCAACTCTTCACATTAACAAATAAACAAGGCTTAGAGCAATCCACTCGGGAGGGCGTAATGACCCAAAGCCACCCAAGACCCAGACTCTCAGTCCTGGCTCAGCGCCCTCGCTACGTCTTGGTTCATTTCTTTAAATTTGCAATATAAACTTGCCTAGAGGATGCACTCTTATCTGACTTATCAGGAGTGCGGGTTGCTCTAGAGTCTCTCCTCACCACCACAGCCTCCTCAAGTGCACGGCACAGGACCCTCCAGGGCGGGCACCAATCCATGGAGAACCTTCCAGCACAGCTCAAATGCTCACACCTTGGTGTCAAGTGGCATTGCCGTGCACACTGCACCTTCCAGATGCAGCTGAGCGCACCTCAGAGAACCAGTGCTTTCCGAAGCTGTACTAGTACAAAGAAGGAATGCCAGCAGGGACCCCCGCTCTGTATAGTTTCTAGGCTAAACTGCACATCATGGGGAAACATACTCATTCCTGAGTTTTCTATCTATAAGCCTGAGGACCCCAGCGGCTGGGTGCAGGGGGTGCAGGGCCTGCCTTCTTAGTGCAGGGATGGTGAAGCTGCAGAATGGGGCAGTGTGAGAACTGATGGGTGGGAAACGGTCTCTGTCTTTGAATCACACGTTGAGAGAATACTGTCATGAACCTCAACTGCATGCCTTCTAGGAATGTGGAGAACTAAAAATAGCAACCTAAGGACATGGAAAAAATACAAGTTTCAAATGAGGAATGGGAATATCTGTCCTGGTCTGAGTTACCTGAAGAGCTTCCCTGGCCTCCGCCTCTGCTGCTAAGACAGGTGTGGCCTGGAGCCGTGTATACATGGCCAGAGTGGGTTCACTGTGTCCACTGGTGATTCTGCCTCACCAAGCACTTTCCTCTGAACAGCTGAATGCTCGAACACAACATTGTTTAAGGGCAAATCCTATGGGATGGCTTCATCTATGGAACCCCATCTAAGGAACCCCTTCTCTACAGCATAGATGGAACAAGACTCAGGAGCGGGGGCAGGGGGTGGAGGGTGTGGGGGCAGAAAACTTTTTGTAAAGAGTCTTCCAGGGTCCTAAAACTGAAATATTTTTGGTGTGTGTTCTAAACATAAAACACAGGCATCTCTTAAAAGTTCTCCTCAAAACCCCAAACGACTGACTTCTTAGAGGACACTGCTGCTGTCCTCTCACTCTCTGGAATGCTGGTGGAAGAGGAGCCGTGTGAAGGATGGGTCCGGTGAGGAGGTGAAGGGAGACGTTCACAGGGAGATGTTAAGCAAACACCTATTTGTACACTAGGAAAGAATTAAGTTCATGAACCCAACCATCTCCACTGAGTTTCTGTAATTTCTCTGCCAACCTCCTCAGAGAAGGAAAGAATGAAAATGTGAAAGACTGAGTTACAGCCAGCTTGTGAAGACCAGGGCAACTGAAGCAAGCCCCTCCCTCCTGGACACCTGAGACCTCCCAGGGGCGTGGAAACCTCAGCCATCAGCCAGGACCACTCAGAGGCCAATAGAATGGGCAACAGAGGATGACATGGCCAGGTGGTGGGCTCACGGAAGGGGGACTACACCTGTGGGCAGGTAATGGGCTCGCACGGCGGGATGGTGGGGACACTACATCTGTCGGCAGGTGATGGGGACACGGGGGATGGTGGGGAGAGTAAACTTGTGGGCAGGTGATGGGGTCACAGGGTGATGGTGAGGAGACCACAACTCTGACAAGTGATGGGGACACAGGGGGGATGGTGGGAGAGTGCACCTGAAGGCAGGTGATGGGGTCACAGGGGGGATGGTAGGGAGAATACACCTGTGGACAGGTGATGGGGTCATGGAGATGGTGGGGAGAATACAACTCTGGGCAAGTCATGGGGACACAGGGGGGATGGTGGGAGAGTGCACCTGAGGGCAGGTGGTGGGGTCACAGGGGGAATGGCGGGGCTGTACACCTATGGGCAGGTGATGGGGTCACGGGGGATGGTGGGGAGAACACACCTGTGGGCAGGTGATGGGGACATGGGGGGATGGTGGGGAGAACACACCTGAGGGCAGGTGATGGGGATACGGGGAGATGGTGGGGAGAATACACCTGTGGGCAGGGGATGGGGTCACGGGGGGTGAACATACAGTGCGACCCCAGCTCCTCAAGCGGCCCACACTGCATGAGCCCTACACTGCAGAAGCACAATTTGTGGACTCCTCCAGCCAGTTCATCAATCAAAGCTACAATTAATCATATGGGATTTTCAGTGGACCCTTTAAAGGAAACAGGTCAGCGCATGTGATTTAAAATGATAGTTTATATATTTACAGAGTATTTACCGCAGGCTAAGCATCACCATCTCAGGTCATCTTGACCATGATCCTGGAGGAAGGTAATTCCTGGTGGGCAATGGGATACCTGAGGCCCAGAAAGTCGTGCAAATACTTCCAGGTCCCAGAAACGGAAAAGATAGACTTTCGCTCCTGAGTCTGGGTTGGAAACTCTGGCTCCTGGGCACTGTGGAAGCTGCTCATTCTCCAGAGCGGGCACCATGTCCCTGCAGCATCTGGGGTACAACCTAGGCATCGGTGAAACCTGGGATCCACAGTTAGGCTGCGTAACATCAGGCCAAGTGTGTTTCCAAATACTGTAAATATGAACCTTTGCTGGAGTCTATAGTTCTCAAGTGTTCTTTTCTCTCTAAAATCACAATTTTTGCCGAAACGAACTGGTTATTCAAGTATTATAAATTCACCCATTCAAATAATCACATATGCGCCCACGTCAAAAGGTCGTAGTTATCCAAAGGGAACCAAGACAAGACCCTGCTGACCAAACTTCTGGACCTTTCCTGAAGGGACTGAGCCACATCCTGGCGATATCCAGCACACACAATGCCACGGGCAGAGGGAGCGGAAAAGACAGAAAGACAAGAAGGAAGACAGCAAGAAAAAAAGAAAGAGAGAAAGAGAAAGGAAGGAAGGCGAAGAAAAGGAGGAGCCTTGTTCTAGCTGGAGATTTAATAAGGTTCTTTCTTCCCGTTTTAATGGTAAATAGAGCAAACCATCATGACAGGTGTTCCTTTTAAAATGAAATTATTAGGCTGCGAACTGCAGAGGCTGGAGAGAAAATAAAACAAACAAACAAAAGATGATTTCTATTTCCTCACTGGAGGGTCTGTCTAAACCAATGAATGCAATTTAAAGGCAGGGCCTGCAGAATAGTGGTCTGCATAATGTGCGTCCAGGTCCATCCTGTGTGTGTAGAAAAGACTAAAAATAAGAATGGATAAAGGGAAATCTAAAGAGAACAGGATCATCTTGGACCTGAAAGCACAGGGGAATTGCCTTTACTGCACTAACCAGAGACAAGCAGAGAGGCGGCTTCTGAGAGCAAGGTGGGGAGTCCGAGGTGACAATGGGGATGCACTTGACTCCAGCCTGACAATCTGGAGTGGACGGGGTTCCTACCCTACCCTGGCCCCGACATCTCCCGGGAGCCCCCACTTCTCCTGGTTGTTCCTCGGGACACGTCTCCCTCCATGCGTCCCCTTACCTGGCTGCTCGGGGCCAGGGTGTAATCTGTTTTTCCTAAGTGCTTGCTCCATAATGATCCCTGTCTCTTGCAACGGCCACAGCGTGAATGAGATGTGATTCCACGGAAGTGAGTCGGTGCTTAAATTGAAATATTATGGGAAGGGCAGCCCACTGCAGACCTTTGATGTAGCAGCCCATGGCTTGGGGGGAGCGGGGGACACAGAAGCCAGTGTCCACTGTACTCAGTTCCTTGTCATTTCAAGGAGAAAGCGGAGAGAGCAGACAGTGTCAATACAAATAATTCGCACTGGATCTGCAAAGTGAGTGCTGCAAGCTGGAGGTTTGCCCCCTGGCCTGTATCTGTGGGAAACAAAGCCAAGAAGAACCATTCAGCATATTTTAAATGGCTTAAAATTCATTTATATATGGCAGGCACCGGGGCAGAAAGACAAACACGTGAATACAAGCCATAAATGAAAAGAATCAACCAGTTACACCATTAAAGATGTCTGAATATAATGCCAGTTACTACGAGTGTGGAGAGTGCATCTCTGAGACGGTGAATTTCTTCCCACCCAAAAGCAGGGTGATCCAGAAGGAATTGGTAGTGTCCTTTCACTTATTTTCAGACAGGCTCAAGATTACTTTCAATAAATAAGTATAATTGTTCATAATCGGAAGAACAGACTTACTTGATGATGACATGACTTTAAATGTCAAAAAGCTAAAAGATCACACACACACACACACACCTGTCAGAACTAATACATGAACCCAGCAAAGTTGTAGAATATATAATCAACACACAAAAGTCAGTTGTGTTTTTTACATTAGTAATAGACAATCTGGAAAGAAAATTAAGAAAACAATTCTATTTGCAAAAGTATTTAAAAGAATAAAATACTTAGAAATAAACCTAACCAAGGAGGCTTAACACTAATACTCTGAAAACTATAAAACATTGCAGAAAGAAGTTAAAAACAAATAAATGGTGACATGTTCATTGTTGAGATTGGAAAACTTAAGAAGTCAATACATTGTAAAAGTGATCTATAGATTCCATTCAATCTCTATCAAAATCTCAACTTTTTTTGTAGAAATAAAAAAATTATCCTACAAATAATGTGCAATTTCAAGAGACTCCGAACAGTCAAAACAATCTCAAAAAATAACAAATGTGGACGTCCCACACTTCCTGCTTTCAAAAATTACTACAAAGCTACAGTAATCAAAACAGTGTGGTGTGCTGTGGCATAGACTGACATATAGACCAAGGTAATCAAATAGAGATCCCAGAAATACACCCTCATATATAAGGTCAAATGATTTTTGACAAGGGTGCCAAGACCAGTCAATGGGGAAAGGACAGTTTTTTCAAAAGATGATGTTGGGGAAACTGGATATCCACTTTCCAAAAACAAAAAACAAAACAAAAAACAAGAAAAACCCTCGCGAACCTGGACCCTTACCTTTCATCATATGTAAAAATTAACTCATAATGCATCAAAGACCTAAACATGAGAGCAAAACTATAAAACGGTGGAGAACACATAGGGAAAAAGCTTCATAGCATTAGATTTGGCAAAGATGTCTTGGATGTGACACCAGAAACATGAGTAATAAAAGAAAAAGTAGACAAATTGGGCTTTAGGCCCTCCATTATTAAAATTTAAAAATTTGTTCAACGAAGGACATAAATGATAGAGGAAAAAGGCCACCCACAGAAAGGGAGAAAACATTTGTAAATTATATATTAATAAAGAAAAAACAGTCTAGAATATATAAAACTGCCTACAACTCAATAACAAAAACAAACAACCCGATTTTTAAAAAATGGGCAAAAGACTTGAATAGACATTTCCCCAGAGAAGACATACAAATGGCCAAGAAACACATGAAATGGTGCTCATCATCACTAAGCATTAGGGAAATGCAACTGAAGAACAATAAAATACCACTTCACCTCCATTGGGATGACTATTATTCAAGACAAAGAAAGTTGGTGAGGATGTCAAGAAATAGGAGCTCTCATGTACTGGTGGCAGGAAGGTGACATGGTAAGCCACTGTGAAAAATGGAATGGTAGTTCCTCAAAACAACAACAACAACAACAGCAACAACAACAGAGAATTAGCCAGGTACGTTGTGGACCTGTGCATAGTGGTGTGTGTTTGTAATACCAGCTATTTGAGAGGCTGAGGTAAGAGGGTCACTTGAGCCCAGAAGTTTGAGGCTGCAGTGAGCTATGATGGCACCACTGCACTTCAGCCTGGGTGACAGAGTGAGATTCTATCTCTGAAAAGATGATGATGATAGATAGATAGATAAATAGACAGATAATGACAGAGCCATGTAATTAACCAATGGTTCTTCCGAGTTTACATCCAAGGAGGGCAAGTATGCAGGGATGTGTACAGTGTAGGCAGTGATAAGTCACTGTCCTGTGGAATCTTACAAGGAATAATCATTTCAGTTGTTTTCTACCAAGTGGTTAGAATATTTTATTTTTTCATAGAATTGAATTATTTTGCATAAGTTGAATTACCTGACTAAAACAAAATATTCAAATCAGCTGCTGCTTCCACACAGGGAAAGGTTTAAAGAGTTAACCAGCCTTTCCAATGTCCATGATCAACATCAGTGGGCAACTGGGATAAATTAACTGCCCCTCCCCCCAAAAAATAAAGAAGTTTGGCTTTCTCTTATGGTCTGTAAAATAGAAAGTCAAATGGGGAGAGATACAATTATCTTGATAGTAGAGCCAAAAATAAAACAACCCTTGTCTTGCAGCTGTTAACTTTGCAAGGGAATAAAGACAGCAATAAACCAGAGGCCTGGCTTCAGTCCTGTAGCTGCCTGTGCCTGTTGCTGTCCTTAATTGCCTCAGAAAAAAAAAAGAAAAAGAAAAAGAAGAAGAGGCTAATTACAGCAATACTACACATTTCACAGGGGTGCTATAAAAGTAAAATGAGGTAACAGACATGGAAACACTTAAAAGTTTAGGCAATGGGTTGTGAGTTTTATTACTAAGTAATGTATCTGAGCAATGAGGGTGACTGTCCAGAGGCCCTTCCATCTCTTAAATTCCCTCAGTGATCTAGGAAAGCATAAGTTATTGGGAGGATTAGTTGACATTGTTCTCTTAGAATGATTTCCTGTCACACTTAGCCCATGAAATGTCTTAGCTTGTGTGTGTGTGTGTGTGTGTGCGCGCGCGCGCGTGCACTCAGGGGTGGGGGGAGATGGGGGATGGGTAGGGAATTAATGGTAGAAGAAATAAGAAAAAAAAAAAAAAAACCATGGCCAACATATTTCTACCATGTGGATGTTTCCGTTTTGAGTCCCTTTGAATTCTACCCTATGATGAAGAAAGCACATACAATTTCCATTGATGGGTGGGGAGACAGGGTCTCAACTCTGTCACCCAGGCTGTAGTGCAGTGGCACAATCATGGCTCACTGCAGCCTCAAATGATCCTCTTGCCTCAGCTTCCTGAGTACCTGGGACCACAGGTACACAACACCACACCCGGCTAATTATTTATTTATATTTTTGAGGACAAGATGTCTCCCTATGTCACCCAGGCTGGTCTTGAACTCCTGGACCCAAGTAATCCTCCTGCCTTGGCCTCTGAAAATGCTGAGATGACAGGTGTGAGCCACTGCACCTGGTCACACACCCGAAATTTTGATGCCAGCAAAGAACTTTCTGTTGCCATCCCCCACACACAGAGGAGAAGGATGCCCTGTCCCCCACCCCAATGTTGTGCTCCCCCTCAGTGTTCAGCCCGAATTACAGGCTCCACCTGGGATCTGATCTCCTCTGTCCACTTCCTACCAGGGGCTATTTGGTGAGGAGCAGGGAATGGGGGGTGACTCACCCCACACCCCAGCATTCATTAGAGCTGCTGTTTCTGTGTTTATATATATCGGGCTTCTGGTTAAGAAGTTTTTAAATTGGTTTTACATTGCTTTGAGGAGAGAAAAAGGTGAAAAGAGAGATTTAGATGGTGATTGCTCTATGAGTATCTACTGTTTACTTCTTAGAAAAGTCATCTTCTGAGTAACTGACCATGACAACAAGGAGAATTAAAGTCCCTGAAATAAACCAAACAAAAGTCGAAATTCTCTTTTTGTGCTTCCAGGCCTCCCCTCTCATCCCCAGCACAAATTTAAACAAATAAAACAACCAATCCTCACTTCTCTAAGTGATTTTTCTGTTACGTGACTTACTACAAAGTACAATTCTTTGCTGGTGACTTACCAGCACTTTGAAAGAATGAAATACATTTTTCCAATCCACACGCACATTGTATCCAATCATTAAACGTTTCTCGTAAATCCTCAAAGCATCTCCATTTCCCCTGTCCCCGGAGGCTCTAGTAAGGCTCCATCTTTACCCAGAACATGTGTTTTTGCCATGGCACAGCTTATGTCATTTTCTGTGATACATCTTTGTAATCACTAAGATTTAAAAAAAAAAAAAAATACGTAAATAAACAACAGTGTACGTATTGGGCTTAATCTCACTTTGAAACCAGAAACATGTCAACTGACAAGCCATCTTTTCTCTCTCTGTTCTGACATAGATAGCCCTTGCACCTGCTTGTTATTGGACTCATTCATAAAATGCATCATGCTTATCTTGAGGTTACCAAAGGGTCCAGTTGAGCATGGGAGGTGTGAATGTTGCTAGTTCTCTGGGTAAATATTTGTACTGGTCAGAGACAATGGAATCCTACTGCGGACTTTCTCACATTCAACTTGCTACCAGCGTCTTCTCTACTCAGAGAAAAGGACGATGCAAATAAAATGAAATACATGAAGAACTTGTTGATTAGAAGTTTATTGAATTATCTAAATCAAGTGACTCGCGTTAAGGCTCTTTGCTAGGGAGACCAGACCTATGATGGCTGGTGGTGAATTTTTTACCTGGAATATGATCCAGAAAATATTTACCCAGAAAATCATTATAATGCAAGACACAAATGATGATGCCATCAAAAACTCATAAATTAGTGGAGCTGAGAGCAAGTTTGTTTTTTTGACAGCAAGTTTTGAGGTGAACACGATGTACACTCTCACTGTGTGAACTGAGTCAAGAAAAAACTCTATGACTGTCCTTTTTGTTCAACATTTCTGCATTTTCTACTACACATCCTTGCAGTTTGCTTCTCTTACTACTCTAACCTTTGAGGATTTTTTCAGTAACTTCCATTCAGCACCTTGACAAATCTGGGTGGACTGTAGGAACACAATCCACATTCAATTTAATGGGAGGTAAGTCTGGAAAAATTGTCCCTGTTGAAGATCTACTTTGTAGTCTTATGCATGATGATGCGGAAGCATCACACTCCTCTTGCTGGATACAGAAAATTCCCTTTGAAGAAAGGAAAAGAAAGTCAGCTCCTTTTGGCAAGACAGAATACAAATGGATGAGCTGTGATGAAAATCACCAAACTTGCAACTGGGGAGATGAAGCATCCACTGATTATTGTATTAAAAAGTGGAGTGTGTGAGCACACAAAACGTTGGGCTTTCCAAGTTTTATGATAAAGTTAATGTGCTTAAGATCATCAATCTCCACTGCGTGGAGTGGCGCCTTCAGTAATTTTGCCCCTGTCATCAAAGCAGCCTCGTGGGACGGACGGTTGCCCGCGCCCGTAATGAAGCACTTCATGCAGAAGCAGCTGTCGCCTCACCTGTTTGCCAGCCCATCCGAAGGCCGGAGAAATTCTCC